AGTTTCCTGATCCCTTATCTGTTGAGCAGTTTGACCTACCCCTGGGTCTTCCATCATGTGGTTAATGCCCTCAAAGCAATCATGTTCCTCCAGCACATACCAAATTTTATGGCGCTACGTGTTATAGTTATCGCCATTCAATTTGTCGCTTTTATTAAGGTCAGCTATGTTATTCTTAGATGCCATGGTCTATCAAAATTTTAGAGACAATCATATAAATGTCCATTTATGCGCACATATCATTTTGCGCTCATGCAAATTAAGTTTTATAATAATTTCACACTAGACATGAAGTCGAAAATTCACTAAGTTCCCAATCATCTTCCATTATCCTAATATTACATTATCACAAAATTAATTTCAATGTGAAAAATCATAAGTTCTAGGTTAGAACTACTTAAACTTTTCTAACTTCTCCCACTAAATTAAACAATTAATCATGTACAAAACAAGTAAGACATTTTGATTATATGTGATAAATATGAAACATATATATAAATCTTAAGATGTCAAATATGCACATACGATCATATTAAACCTTTTTAAACAACTACTAGATATTGAAAAAATAAAAATAAAACATCACATAGATATAGTTAAATAATTTGAACTAACCATACATATCTAAATTAATTATGAAATTCTCATTTTTCGAATTTCATTTCCTAATCAAAATTCTGATTAGATAGTTGTAGCATAGATGTGGTGAATTATCCAGAACTTCAATAGTAATATCATGCCAATGTTTAGGAAGTGTCCTCATTAAAAGATACGTACTTTCCACCTTACATATATAATGTCCCAAATGTATCACTTCTCAACGCATTACTTCGAGATATTTTATGTGTTGTATTAGATTATATTGTGGATCAATTTCATAGTTTCGACAAACATGTAAATTTTCAACACTTTCCACGGCCCGTGCTATACTAGCTTCTCCTCTGAGGATGCTAAAAGTGCGCATTTATCCAGTCATATCTGATCAAGCACAAAAATTGAAAAATTAGTCATAATGGATACATAACCTAATCAAGATCCACACCACTCATGCACGTATATAAAATGTGGTATTTCAAACATTTTCGGAGTATTTTTCATTTTAAAAAATGAGAGTTCCTCAAGAAATAATTCTCACTAGTCAAATGCCACTTAATAAATATTCATGATTTTATAAAAATATTTTCAGAATTTAATCAAATCAAAAATATTTTTAATGTCTTTTATAAATTTATTTCAATAATAAATAAAAAAACATATTTGATTATCTGAAAATTATTTTAATTGCATAAAGAAAAAAAATATTTGAGGGGCCAATTTGCTACATTTCAAATTGGTATTGGAATAAACAACATCCAAAAATAGTTTTGGGACCAACATTCAATTTTTTGAAGTACATTTCCAATAATCAACATTCAAAAAATAGTTTGGGGACTAACATGAAATTTTTCAAAATGCATTTGGAATACAACCGCCTCTATGCAACAATTTGTTTTTTTTTTTTTTTCCCTGTTCATCGTCATTGTTCATCTTCAAAACGAGTAATTTTTTGCAACTTTCTGTCAAAATTTTGGAAGGTCATAACTTCAATTCTAAACCAAAATTAATGTTCTTTATACCATTGGAAAGTTCTTGAAAATTTCAATCCATCCATACCAAATGGACAGCACGAGACTTAACGTACGAGAAGTTATCATGCAATAAAGTTTCAATTTTCTCAACTAGAGTTTAATTTTTCTCTCAAAATATAAATCCAAACGAAGTGAAATTTTCCATATATGTTCTACATAATATCATGAACATATGATACAAATTTCATGAATTTATATGGACTATATCAAAAGTTACCATTAATGACATTGAAGTTTTTGGAAGAAAACGAAACTCATGCATTTCGATTATTCTAAACCATTTTCAGCATGTATTTAAGCAAGAAAACAACATACTTAGGCTCTGATACCAATGTAAAACGTGCTTGCATACTTTTAACCGAATTCTAAATTGTAAAACTTACTTGAAAATTTCAAAAAGTGGTTTAATCACTAGCTTTCCACACCGTCTTCTACTCACTTGGTCAAAAACTCGATCACAATTGAAGGAATTTGATAGCCACAATCCAAGAACTCAATTTGAGATGTTATATTTCCATAAATCAAGCCTCCACTCTCATCTACTTTTTACCATTTGAAGGAACCCGAATTTTTGCACATATTTTTCTTTTATTGTATAATTGAAGTTATATATATGGTTGAGGGTGATGGGAGGTTAAATTTTAAATTCAAAATTAAACTCCTCCCTCCAAAAATCATCCTCTACAAATTAGGTCGGGTCAATCCACATGGGCGACCCATTTTCTTCCAACATGTCCTAACATGACAAATAACTAATGCCATCCAGGTGTTAAATTAGGATGTAGACAATTAATTTGTACTTCACAAAGAAAATTATGTATATAATTATTGAATTGAAAATTAGTTTTTTTTATGATAGGTATATTACTTGGATATGTATCGAATTATGCGTTTTCAAAGCTTCCAACTCACTTGAGCTGGCGATTCATGCTCGGAATTGGTGCAATCCCGTCGATATTATTAGCCATAGGCGTTTTAGGGATGCCCGAGTCCCCACGTTGGCTCGTCATGCAAGGTCGACTCGGTGATGCAAAAGTAGTTTTGGACAAAACTTCTGACTCACTTGAGGAATCAAAATTAAGATTGACTGATATCAAAGAAGCCGCGGGAATTCCTAAAGAGTGTAATGATGATATTGTGAGTGTCAACAAAAAAAACCATGGCGAGGGGGTCGGCGAGATTTAATCCTTCGCCCAACACGGGCAGTTCGCCACATTTTGATTTGCACTATCGGGATGCATTTTTTCCAGCAATCGAGTGGCATAGACTCTGTCGTTCTGTACAGTCCAGATATATTTGAAAAGGCAGGAATAACTAATGACACAGATAAGCTACTCGCTACAATGGCAATTGGATTCACCAAAACAATATTTATTCTAGTGGCTACATTTTTGTTGGACAAGATCGGACGGCGGCTGTTGCTCCTATCTAGTGTCATCGGGATGATTTTATCTTTAGTGGGCCTAGCAACTGGGCTGACCGTTATTACTCATTCTGACCACAAACTTGTTTGGGCCATAGCTTTGAGTATTGCCTCAATTTTGTCTTATGTGGCATCTTTTTCAATTGGGATGGGCCCAATCACATGGGTCTACAGTTCCGAAATATTTCCATTGAGGCTGAGGGCCCAAGGGTGCAGTATGGGCGTCGCAGCGAATAGGGTCGCCAGCGGTGTGATTTCAATGACATTCATATCCTTATACAAGGCCATATCGATTGGTGGGGCATTCTTTTTGTATGCCGGGATTGCCGCGGTTGCTTGGGTATTTTTCTACACTTTATTCCCTGAGACTCAAGGAAAAACACTCGAGGAAATGGAGACATTGTTTGGCACTTTCTTCAAGTGGAGATCTACGTTGAGAGAATTGAAGAAGAAAAAGGTCCAGAACGGTGGTACCAATGGCCAAGTCCAAAGGGGGACTACTGGCTAGAGTTAAACTCGAGGGTACTAATGTAAATTACTTGTCTAAGCAAGGGGTTTTATGTCAATTTGAAGTTTTTAGTAGATTGAGTGTGTGGTGCTTGGAGAAGATAGGGATGGTGACAATAGACAATATGTAATGGAATCTTGAACTAGAAATGACAACGAATGATAAAAGAGAAATTAATATAAAAAGTGTGTTTTTTTTCTAGGTCAATCATTATTATATTAACATTGCAGTTTTTATTTATTGCACCATATTTTAATTGTAATAAACCACTAAACGAACACAACTCGTTTTGTCTTTTTTGTTTTGTTGAAAACGAGATGATATCAGATTGTTCTAATACCAATTTATTGAAGAAAATACGAGGTTATAGACACAATATAAAGTAATTGATCACAAAAGCTGAAGAATAATAAAATTTGTAGAATAAATGAGATTTCACTAAAATATGAAAAAATAATACAAATATTTGTATTTACAAATAATGTCTAACTTGTAATTAGGTTAAACAACATATTCAACTTGTAGAGAAGAACCAAATATATATAGAGAGCAAATAAGAGACGTCCATAACACTACCCTTGGCGTTGTAGAAGGAAAATGCTGCTAAAAATGCGTATAAAATGCAAAATGAAATTGGGTCTCGATAACAACGGTGTTGAAGCGTCAGACAAGCAGCTAGCTCGCGTCGTACCACTCAAGCGGCAAGGAAGCAATTAACTTGCAGCAAACTGTAGCGCTGGGCACTCAATTTCGAGAAAAACTTATTTCTTTGCTTTAATTGTTGTTCAACAATTTTCTTGTTCATGTCTTGATCTCTTCAAGTCCAACACAAATTCCAAAAATCTCAATTTGGGCTTCCAAATAGAACAACTAGAATTTGCTAAACATATTTCGAATAGAATTTCAAAATAGCATTTCAAATTGAATTTTTCNAATTTCATATTAAACTATTAAAGAATTTTTTTTGCACCATCATGTGTCAGCTATTTAATAATATGTGAAACAGTGACATGTAAATAAATTTGTACAACATTCATGTTAAAAAATGGTGGCTAAGATCTGTGGGAAAAATACTTCCAAAGAATTTATACTTCTACATATGTATGGATGATAGAATTTCTTTGTAGACAACATTTTTAGTACATGTACTATGCATATTTTCAATGATTGATGGTTTGAGTAAAACTTTTAAACAATTGCTTGTCTTAACTTGACAATGTTACATAAAATTGATCATGACAGAAAACTGGTTTAAGAAGATACAAACCAACGAAATCAAATGATTTGTTTATTGTTATTGTAAAATATGGTCTAATTGGAAATTGAGTTCTTTTAAATGGAATTGAAGATTAATCACTTTTCGGAGGTACAAAAGGGATTCTCGGTAAGAAAACATGTTTTCCACAATACACGCCAACTGTAATTTCAGCAAGAATTATATTCTTATCAAATTTCTTACAAGGCGCATCCCTACAATTATCTTCTTAAGCTTCAATTCATGCGGTGGAATACCGTTTAGAGTCAAAGTATTCAAAAAANTTTAAGCTTCAATTCATGTGGTGGAATACCATTTGAGGACAAACTATTTAGAAAATCTTCTTGCAAGGGTTGTTCTGATTTGTCAATTGATTCATCAAAACTATAGTAAGTATAAAAGTCACCAGGAATAGTTTCAAGCAAAATGTTGTTAATATGATCAACACATTCGTTTCGAGGCATAAGAATGACTCTGTTTGCCATCGTCTGTAAATTATCAACATTTGGTTCTATTTTCGGAAAAATACGATTTATTAATTTTTTTAGAGATGTAATTTCATCCTCAAATTGTACAATTATATCCTTAGGAAGTTAAATGCAGTCACAATTATGTTCTTGCTCTGTTCCATTTCCAATTCTAAGCAAGTAATCACATAATGTGAGATCCAATTTAACTCTCATGTTCTTAACTAATGGTAAATGTGAATACAAAAGTCATATGTCTGGGAAAATTAAACTAGCTTTTATGTTGTTATTTTTTTCTCCTCGATATTACTGGTAAAACTTGTTGAAAATCTCCTCCTAAAACTACTACTTTCCCACTAAAAAGCAAATTACAATCAGTAATATCTTTAAAAAAATTTCAATAGCTTCAATGGAACAACGATTTACCATATGTGCTTCATCCCAGAGTATTAACTTTGACATTTTCAACAAGGTTCATAAAATTGATTGTTTACTAATATAGCAACATACTTGTCCAACTGTTTCCAAAGGAATTTTGAATCTTAAATGAGCTGTTCGGCCTCCAGGTAAAAGAGATGCAGATACTCCAAACGATGAGTAGCCAAATCAATTAAATTTTGAACCAGAAATTCTAGAATAGAACCTATGTCTTCTAAAGCCCGTAATTCAGCAACCTCTGGATGTTTATTTTCATGTACGTAATCATTAGTCATATAAACTTTAAATTTATTCCATAGTAGATTTGGATGATTAGGGTTGCAGAGTATAAGAAGAGTAGCGAAGAGACGTCTTAAAGAAGTAGGCATTTTATAAACAATAGTTTTAGATAAACATTATTCACAATAATTGTCTTCACTTAACAAACCATGTAATAGCGATCTTCTCGATATGTACTAACAGTTACTCCATTTAAAGTTCGTAAATCATGAAATGATGTTGGACCTCGAATATGATTAAGACGAACGCGTAGGAAATATCGTTCTCCTTCAGATGGATTCGCTGTGACAATTCGGCCTATAACAACGTGTTTTCTTCTGGGGGTCCAAATCTTTTTAGTTGAGTTCCAAACAAAATGTGTTGGAAAATCTCGATACAACAATGTACGAGCAAATTCATTTGCTTTATTTACCTCAAAAAATTCTGTCAACATTGTTCTTTTTGTATTTTCGTTGTCAATAATAGCACATAAATCATCTTCGTTGTTATATCTTACTTGTTGATGATTTTCGATGTGAAGTTGTAAAGAATAAACAGTTGGATAAATTTCCGCCAAATTAAACGAGAAAATCCTCCACATAGCTTCAGGTGGAGATATCCACCTAGCAGATTGATAAGCTGAGATTTCGTCGGTTTCTTTT